TTAACAAAACAAAACAAAATTTAAGAAAACAAGGGGTGCTTGTCGGCTCAGTCAGTAGAGCATGTGATTCTTGATTTCGGAGTTATGAGTTTGAGCCCCGGGTTGGGTGTAGAGATTATTTAAAAATAAAATCTTCAAAAAAACAAAACAAAACAAAACTTAAAACACATAACCCAATTTTTAAAAAATGGGCAACATATGTGAACAGCCATTTTACCAAAGAATATATACAGATGGCAAATAAGCATGTGAAAAGATGTTCAACATCATGAATCATTATGGAAATTAAAAAACCACAATGAGGGGCGCCTGGGTGGCGCAGTCGGTTAACTTTTGACTCTTGGTTTCAGCTCAGAAAGTGAACTCAGGGTCGTGAGTTCAAGCCCTGCATAGGGATCCATGCTCAGCACACAGTCTGCCTAAGTTTTTCTCTCCCTCTGTCCACCGCCCCCACTCTTTCTCTCAAATAAATAAATCTTAAAAAAAAAATCCACAATGAGATACCACTATAGATCTATTAGAATGTCTAGAATTTAAAAAACAAGAACTGACAAAACCAAGGGCTGGGATGTGCAGCAACCATCACAGAGCATCATATGTGGCTGAGGGCTATGCGAAACAGTACAGACATTTTCGAAAAAAGCTTGGCAATTTCTTATGAAGTTAAACATACACTTAGCAGACAACCCAGAAATTCCACTCCCAGGTATTTACCCAAGTGAAATGAAAACTTATGTTCACAAACTTTTATGCAAGTGTTTCAACAGCTAATACAAAACAGCTAAAAACTAGAAACTACCCAAACGTCTTTCAATTGGTGAATGGATAAACAAACTGTGATATATCCATAACAGAATCTCAGAATGCAACATGAATCTCAAATGCAGTATGTTAAGTGAAGTAAGTCAGACCAAAAGCTACCATTCCATGACGTTCTGGACATTATATGGATAGAAAACAGGGGCTGAGCAGAGAGGGAGAGGTTCAATGCAAAGGGACATGGGAAGATTTTAGAGGCAATACAACTGTTTTATATCATGAACGTGGCGGTGGTAGTTACATGACTATATGCATTTGTCAAAACTCACAGAACTGTACATGAAAAGGGGCGAATCTGACTGTATTTAAATCATATTTTTTTTTATGGAAGGAAAAAAAGAATCACAGATGAAGATGAGCCCCAGAGATTCTAGGAATTCTAGCCTGGGCAGTTATGAGGATGATGATGTCATTATCTGGAAAGGCTACATTACTTAGGCCAAAGGCACAGGCCAAGTCCACCAACTGATCGAAGTACAGAAGCAGGCTCTTGTCACCACCCTTCGCTAATCATTTCCTACTCTTGCTTGTTCCTTTTTGGGTTTGGGTGAGCGCTCACTAAGTGGCTACTGGAAAAAGGCATTTAGAAGAGCTGAAGACAGCCAGGCTCTCAACAGAGCCCTACTGGAAAAAAAAAAAAAAAGCCTCCTACCACAGAATCAATGCGGATGAAGCCTGAGTAGCTACCAGTGCAAGCGTCCTGCTTCTTGCACTTGAATCACAACAGAGAGAGGGCTATTTAAACTTTTCTTAAAACAACAAAGAAATGAGGCAGGGTACAGGGAAGCTAGATGTTATCTGGGTCTAATCACAGTATCTTTTTTTTTTTTTTTAAGTAGGCTCCACACCCAAGGTGGAGCCTAACATGGGGCCCAAACTCATGACCCTGAGATCAAGACCTGAGCTGAGGTCAAGAGTCAGATGCTTAACTGACTGAACCACCCAGGCACCCCTAATCATAGATTCTTTTAAGAATATGGTTTAATTAGTGATTTCCTTCAAAGTGTAGTCAGCCAAAGATGCACTGACACCATTTCTAATCAAAGTGAAATATGATAGCCACTTTAAGTTTGGTTTTTACATTAAAAAAAAAAAAGGAATGTCCACAACCTGTGAGTCTGCTTACCAACTAGTAAAGGAAGTCAAAAAATATAAGTAATAAAACCATAATTTTCATTTTAAAGAGAGAAAGTGAAAAAAATTAGATAATATATACTTTCCTCTACCAAAGCTGAAAAGCACACTGTAATGGAAATAGTATTCGAAAAGAAATTCACCTGGATTTTAATCCGAACTCTGCAACTAACTTGGCTGGTTAAGTACATCAATATTCTCCTCAGCCTTGTAATAAAAGAGAGTAAAGCAATAGGATATGTAAAATTTATTACAATAAAATGTGAAAGCAATTAGAAATTATTAAAAATACTACCTAGGGACAGAGTACCAACAACAGTCATTATCGTAATTATCACTACCAAGTAACTTTGCTAGCAAAACGGGACTGTTTAACCAGAACTAAAATGCACTACCTGACACAAAAAGAAATTCTATTCGAAGAATTTTCAAGATGTTGGATTTGGTATATGTTAGACCGACATATCTCATAACATTCCAACATACTCAGACACTTTAAAAGTTTTTTAAAATAGCCTGCAATGTGAAAAGATACCTAAAAGCTTTCTTATAAGAACTTTGTTATCTTGTAAGAGATTTGTACTGCAGAGATCTGAAAATGCAAACAGAAGCTTTTACTTCATTTTGGCTATACGGTTATTTATTTGAAGGGAACAAAAAGAAAATCAGGGCACCTCTGAGTCAGGTCTATATGGTGCCATAATGATTCTTTAATCCAAATTTTTAGAAGTGAATGAACAGAGGTCACATTCAAAGTCAAAACTGTTCCACCAGGTTGCTCCTTATATCCTAGCCCTTTCTCACAAATATTAATGAAAGAAACGATATTTACTCAGCACAGATGTCAAGCAGTAAATTAGGTACTTTATATTAGATTATTTCATTCTAACAACTCTAAAGAGATATCGATATTTTCATCCCCAACACACAAGAAAACTGAAGCTCAGAAAAGATAAACAACTCACACTCAAAGTCACATAGCAAGCAAGCATCAGAACTGCAACTCCAAACAAGGTATGAGACTGAACTACTCATCTTCCTTCTAAAATATGCGATCCTCGGGTACACATTACACCCACCACCCCCCAACTCCACCCCACAAATAACAAATGACTTTTCCTCTAAACTATACTTGCAAATAAATGTCAGGGAAGGGGCAACAATGAGTTATTAACCTATTACCAATATTAGTCTTGAATTCTCATACTGATCCATAAAGAAGGTAGAAGATGTATTATCATCACTCGTTTACCTTTGAAGCAATAAAAACCCAGAGAGGTTATATAATTTGCTTCAAGTTAAAGAGCTGACACACCCATATTCTAGGTAGAGGGCTATTTTATAGTTTCCAAAGTGTTTTTTCACCAATCCATACAGAATTCATCAAACACTTTTTTTTAAAGATTTTATTTATTTGTCAGAGAGAGAGAGAGCACAAGCAGGGGGAGAAGCAGAGGGAGAGGGAGAAGCAGGCTCCTGCCGAGCAGGGAGCCCGATGCAGGGCTCGATCTCAGAACCCTGGAATCATGACCTGAGCCAAAGGCAGACGCTTAACTGACTGAGCCACCGAGGTGCCCCTCATCAAACAAATACTTATTAAGCAATAGCTGGATTCATTCTAGGAGCTTGGGAAATAACAACACAGGCAGAGATCCCTGCCCCCATGGAACTTACATTCCAGCAAGAGAGACAGAAAATAGGCAATAAATATAAATAAGCAAATTATATAGTATATTAAAAGAGATTAAGAGCTCTAGAAAAGAGAAATAGAAAAGCAGAGTAAGAGGGTTTTGGCAGTATCAGAAGGGGGAGAGCAGGTTGCAATTTTAAATAAGGTTGTCAGGGTAGACTTCCCTGGGAAGGTAACATTTCAGCAAAAATTTAGAGGCATAAAGGAGTTAGCCATGCAAATGGAGAAGACTAGGCGGTAACCTAGGCAAGAGATATTGGTGGCTTAGATGTTGACGGGAGCAATGCAGAAGGTGACAAGTGACTCTTTTCTGGATCTACTTTGAAGGTAGAGCCAACAGAATTTGCTAATGCACTGGATACTGGGTAGAAGATTGAAGAGTCAAGGATGATTCCAGGATTGAACTGAGAGGCTAGAAGGATAGAGTCTGCAGCAACTGATATATATAGGTTGTGAGTGGAACACACTTGGGAGGAAATAAAAGTTCAGTTTTTGACATGTCAGCCAGAGAGGTCAAGTGAGCTGTTGATATATTAAGCTGGAATTCAAGATAGAGTTCTGGCCCAAAAACAAATCTGAGAATTTTTAAGCATACATACAGTATTTAAAACCATGCCGGGCTCCCTGCTCCTTGGGAGCCTGCTTCTCCCTCTGTTTCTCTCTCTCTCTATCATGA